GCACGACCATTTACCGGACTACTATCGGTGGACGTTCCGAAAGACAACGACGTTCTTTAAAGGATAACTTAAAGATAATTTAAACGAAGATGCTTTTAACAGGAACCAGCACTCCAAGGAAAGTTGTACTGGACTGCACTGAACATAGAAAGAAACATCTATGATATATATAATGGAAAGAGGTGAATTTTGGACAAACCTTCTTATGGATAATTATTTCCAAATCTTTTAACTTTGTCATCGTAAAAGGGATGATGTATTTATTTTCGTTTTGTAAGGATGAACAGTTTAGGGATATGCCTACATAGCTGCATCATTAAAAAGTGACTACTACTTAATGATCACCTTTGAGCATCCTCATTGTTTCCACGACCTGAACGATTCTCCTTTTTTCAATTTCGTAGGGATGGGGGTACTATTTGACATGATGCTTTTTCTCTCTTCAATAGCGAAAACCAGACCTGAAAAAAGTCAGGCCTGTACGGGATTCGAACCACTGACCTCTGCGATACTAGTGCAGCGCTCTACCAATTGAGCTAACAAGCCAACTGGGAGCAGGTCTGATTTTTTGCAAGAGAAAAACATACTAAGTTATTCTGCAACTATCTGATCAAAAATTACGATATGTATCACTATGAATGGAACTCGGATTTTGTCTCAATTGCAAACTGTGTACTTTACCCAATCAAGTAATATACAAGTGTACTTCTAGATCGCCTTTATTTACCCTTTCTCTCCCAATATGTAAGGTTTGATATTCTGCAATGTCGGACATACATATCTTACTTTTTCAGGTCTGAAAATTTGGTGTTAAATCATACAGTATCCCCCAAAACACAAAGAAGAAACACATCAGTGGGGATGATACGCAGATGAAGAACTTTAATATAATGAAGACTGAGAAAGAAGTGAGTAAGATCCTGTGACCGTTACGCAGTCGTAGGCTTAGAGTTCGACGTATTAAAAAATTTGCGTGACAACTATTGAGTGATAAACGTTTGTTTATATATATCTTTGTATCTGTATCAAGTCACGCTTTATGAGGATTCGAAATAGAGTAAAGATCAAATGGTTCGACACATTTGAGATATTTAGAGATCTTAGTGATATTAAAATGCTGTGGAGGAGAATTTTAAGAGTAACGGTCTTTGCCAGTACCTTATGTATGTCAGGTGAGTCCCGTTTGAGAGATTTCGCTGCGACATTAAAAGTGTAAGTATGCAATGAATATGTCGCTTGGAGTGGTACTTAGACATACTTTTTAAACGATTACCAGTTTGTGTTTCAAGAATTTTGTTCTCTTTTTTAGTCCGACAGGTTTACTCGATATAAGAATGTAAAAGCGTAAATCTCTAATTCCTTCCCAGTTACCCACTAGAGAAGGTAACATTCGGCTGAAATAGATAGTCACCATTCCCGAATAGACCTTACGACAATGTAATTTGAGTGTAGGTATTACATAGTTTCATTAGGATTACAGTATTAACGCAGCCATGAAATTGCCTTTTTTACTCTCGCACAGCCAAAACGAAATGCTGAGATAGGTGAAACGTTTAAGCATTCGCTGTGCCTTTTTCATGTTACGTGAAATCCTGTTATTCAATGAGTTATGATGTAACGTTATTCATAATACTCCGTTTACCACTCAGGTGATCAAAGGTTCAAAATATTTGAAGGAGCGGAAGAAGCGGATGTCAGACGTAAAAGAATTCGGAAATAAAAATTGGATATTTACCAAGGGTGAACCTGCGTTTCAGGGTGGCATCTCAAATCGAGTTGTCAAGTTTTATTAACAATTAATTTATCTTTAGAATCTGTTTTGTGGCCTGCTGGATCATATGGAATACCCAAACCTGTGTCTGGTTGTCCTCTGACTACTGGCTTTCAGTGGGAGAAAGGATGGCGGGCTCACGACACAAATGGTGTATCCTCAAACAATTCCAGATCCCATGACTTCCACCTCGATGCAAAGGTAGATGAAAGCAAAGTCCAAAGATCATTCTGTATAAAAACATCCACGATTGACGACCATAACAGACCAAATTGGCCACAAGGTAATGTCGAAGAGTCATTTCCTTGCCTGAGGAGGTCTTACTGAGATTCTATAGATCTAACTTGCTGGCACAATACACTTCTCTCTGTTCAATGCTATGAATAACCCCACTTGTCTTTGACTTGCAAGGACGAAAAGAATGCAAAGATAAGAAAACTTTATCTGCAACTCGTTCCAAAGCTTACAAAGTGCGATATTCATTTATCTAACCTTCCTGATTCTAACACAGATCCGCCGAGAGGATACTGCGCATTTAGAAACGGCGGGGAAGCGTGCTCTTTACAAATTAGTTAGGTAGATTAGACGAAGAGCCTGCTTTTGAAGAATAAGGGTTTTCTTTAAATTTGTTTTGAGGTATGGCCCCAGAAAACTAGGCCGTTAAGAGAAGGTCTTAATCATGTCATATTTCCTTTCGTTTTACTGATTTTTGAATGTGTTGTATAATATACAGGGTTTTTCCATTACCACTACTATTGGATGTTCGCCTACAAAAGAAAAAAAAGTTCAGAAGGATAATCCAAATTGTTGACGTCATATTTGTAAGGCCCAAACTAACACTAGAAATAAAAACCTAAAATTCGATCAGACGTGCTCGCGACGGCCAGCGATAAGAAATTTACAGCTATAAAAAAGAGGGACACAAAAAGGGAGGTCTGTTAATGTACATAGTCTACGACATGATGTTGGTCTTCAAACATAAAACCAATATCTGGTTGTCATTCATCCCTACAGGACGATATTGTATCTACAAAAAGGGAACCTGCCCAGCAAATTTCAAGGAAGGCTATGTTTACTGGGATGATGACGACAGTAACAAAAATAAGAATAAACGTAGTGGAACACTTCCTGACGGAACGTTCAACGAGAACACAAGAATCGAGTTTTGCTGCAGAAGCGACGGGGAAAAAGATACTCCTATTCTCCTTCCCTCTGATTCTCCATTTTTCCTGCTGGCTTACAAATCAGACAAATGTCAGATGGTCAAATGGGCGATAGCAAGAGCAGAGTGGATTTATTATGATACTCAAAACAACAACAACATGGATGGAAGGGGCGGCGGATTCCCTTATGATGCCCGTGAACGTGAACAGCATCAAAAGATATATTACTGTTACTACACTGGCAAGTGTAAAGTTACTTGCACGTTTCATAATTTTATGAGGTTATATGCATAAATGAATTAGGGCTCGTGATCGTAAGTATTTGCTGTCAGCACGAGTAAACTTCCGTCTTCTGAAATTGATAAAAAAAAAATCCATCGTTGAATGTGGCATTTGGTCTGAAAGCAGGGGCCGGATACTGTGATCCGAAAGGTCTCAGCAGTTGCTAAAGGCCTCACCAACCAAAAGTCGCAATACTTTCCAGTGGCCTCTTCGGCTTCATTTTTTGACTATGCCCAAGTATACAGTGGCAACAGTAATATTTTGACACCTGACACAGAGTGATCAAGTGAACTGACGTTCAAAACTAGTGCAGGTGCTTCGTTAAGACCATCCCCATGATCATTTTCTTCGTCATCATCATCAACAAAAGATTCAACTTCAATTTAATAAATACTTGTATATGCATAACACCGGTTGAAGTTAAATTTGCACATACGTATAAAATTATGTGCATAAAGTGACTAAGTTTCTAAAGTTGTTGGTCGTCATTCGCTTTAGGAAGGGCTAACGCCCGAAACGTCAGCTTTAGAAACTCTTTACAGTGACCAATTTACATACGATCAACTTAGCTAATAAAACCAAATTATCCTATGAAATTATGGGTATATCAAATTATGTACATGACATATATCTTTTCTCAGGATGTAATAGAACACTAACAACAGCCAATGGTAGTTTCCACTCTCCGAATTATCCAGGAAAGTACCCGAATGGTCAACACTGCTCGTGGACGATCACAGTTAACACAACGCGACAGATCGTATTGGTTTTTACTGAATTTAGACTGCAACACGAGATTGGCACAGACGAACTATACGTTTATGATGGATCTGATTCTAAAGGCGTGGTGTTAGGAGTCTTTTACGGAGGTCACCCTCCCCCAGAAAAAGGAATATACTCTTCATCTAACTACATGTTTATAGTATTCAAGTCAGACAAAGATAACTCTTTCACTGGCTTTAAAGCATCTTACTTTGGTGTCAATATTTCAGGTAAGTATTGTTTCTTGTCTTTTCATCTGTTCCTAGAATTTATGTATAGTAAAGATTTGGCAAAGCAGGAAGCAGGGTCCAACGGTTCGAGTAAATTTCTGAAGAATGTGTAGATATTAAATAAAAGAGGTATTAGCTATAGTTATACCGATACAGTCATACATTGGATAAGCTCAAAGTTTAAATTAGATAAAGCAAGTCATTTAACGAATGAATTAAAATCTTCATCTTCAAAAAGCGTCAACAAGATCACCAGACAGGACGACACCAAGTGAGATTCCTTCATCTAGAGCAGATGATCCGAATAGTAGAGGGAAGGGTGAACCTGAAGAAAGAGGTAACAAGATGATTGTGGTTCTTCTTCTCAGAATACAATGAGCGGTCAATTGTCAAACGTCCAAAATTAAATCCCCTTAAACTTTGTAATTTTCACCTCTAGTAAAGATCGTCTCTATTTAGCGGTCGTGGTCACCCCTTACTATGTATTTCACCTGTATTGAGCTATCGCTTAAAGCTGAACCACTCAAAGGAAACTAAGAACAAGCTTTTAAGTATATTTAACACATTTTTATTCCAATGTAGAGGTTTTAGTTTCTTCTACATCATTACATTTGGCTCACTTGTGTATGTGACTGATTAACTCTTAGTAGGTGTGACTGTGGTATATTTGGTCGTTCCCTTGGTGCTGATCGCCCTTTTAGCATTCGTGCTCGTAGGAGTGGTGTTTTACCGCAAGAGGTTACAGCATTCTGTTTAACTTACGGATCGATCATCTAGATCATGAGGCAAGGCGAAAATTCAATTTGAATGACGTTATCACATTGAGAGTGTATACAACAACCCTCATAATAAGGGTTTGTCATCTTTGATCTTCATCTTCCCTGAAGTAAGCTCTGATCATGTAATGGAGATTAAAGTTCCTTCTTAGAAAAGAACTTAGACAACTTTTTTTCATTAACTGCACCAGATCTACCTCAAGTCATTAACATTTATCTTCAATTTAAGTCATCCTTGGGTGGACAATCTTCAAGTTTCTGTTTCGCGGTATCAAAGGGAAACAATACCGTTGCAGGAATGAGTAGCAAAATAAAATGATATGGATTCGTTATATATAGTGAGCTTTGTAGTTAAACTTTGAAAGTTTTATAACTATGATGTTAAGTTATTTCTTAACAAAATCAATAATAATCTTTTCTTTTTAATTTTCCCAGCTCAACCTGACGAAGAATAAGACGTGATGAGGTGAATTATTTTAGCTGCCTCTTTCACCTATTTCAATCAAACTAGCGAGCAGTTTTGCAGTTGGTACAAAACTTACTTTAAAAGATCTCCGGTTGATAACTTATAAAAGATATTACGTGCGATCTCGAGCATTATTTCAATGATAGATTTAGTCAGCAGTCTATTTGGTCTAATTAAGGGAGGGGAGAGCTTGCTACATGAGCTCGAGATCCTATCACTAACCTTAACCCTGAGCCGTCCTGTTTGATTTGGGATTATAGATCAGAATTTCAAGATGGAAACCAATAATTTTACAAAAAAAGAAAGGAACCGGAAGACCATTTAGTGTAATGTAGAGCAGATTTTGAAGCACAACTAAACCGCTTGAAGACGATAGATCAAATAAAGTTTTAATTCGTACACTTCATTAGCTTGTCGTGCAGCTGGACTTATCACCCGGCAGGCTCACAAACACATACACCAGCAGTGGATCTAGGAATTTTTGATGGGGGGGGGATCCAATTCTTTATTTAGAAAACACAAAAATGTTTATCTGCGTTGGCGCCTTAATAGGCTGGGATATTTTTCAAGAAAAGTAAACTCATACATTTGATATTGGTTGAGAACATGCAGTCCCGTCGTTGCTTGTATTTTGGTGACAGACAAATGGTAAAAATCAAAGGTTTACCCATTCCCTCCTTCCCCCCCGACCTTTTACCTTGTACACAGACTCATTGTGTCACTCAGATAATTCTGAAAAGTATGTACAGGAAATCATTTCAAGTCCTTGAAGTGTTGTAATATTAGTAGTTTTATATTATTAACGAAAAAAGGTAATAAAATAGAGAAGGACAAGTTTGGTTCCAAGTGGCCGATATTTTGGAATTATTAACCCAATTTTAAGTCATCCTGACTTAAACTACTCTTAACCTATTACAAAATCCTTTCCCAAATATCAAACAATAACCCGAACGATCAAGCATCGTAGTGGTTATTCCTTGGACCAATTTTTTTTTTTTTACTTGGTGACCAAGCTCAGGTCTTGAACCTTCCCGGGTGCGTGACCGTCGATCGTTTGATTAATCCGCTTCCTTTCTTATGATATATTCTACAAATCTTAGAGCCTTGGGAATGTTGTGCTGGCGAATTCTAAGTTTGATAATATTTTTCTATGGCCTAAGGGTTTCAGGTAAGCCTTTTTTAGGAGGTATCGAAAAGATATGATGTAAAATTTTCACGATGGTTTCAAACATGTCACTTCGCGATAAGACGCGAGAACTTTAAGCGCAGCCACCGAGCTCGGTCTGTAATTTATTTTATTTGTCACAAGTAGGAAAAATAACTTTGAACTGCTTTTAACAGAACAATCGATGAAGGTGGTGTGAACGTGCAAACGAATATTGTTGTTGCGACTGAAATAGAACATGACTGTACAGAGACTTCCGGTTCGTCTTACGACGTTCACTAAGGGTCAAGAATCAACATCCTCTTTACGCAAACTTGGAATACTGGTCAGGAAACCGTTCACTCACTTCTCACCAGGAGACGTAATCAGTAACTAGCGAGTAAATATCGCAAAAAAGTCAGTATCTGCTTATCTCCTCATCTAAAAAGGGTATCTGAATTCTAAAGTTGTAAAAACTAATACTGGTAAGCTGTGTTTACATGGCACCAGATCAGCATTGTTTAGGTGCAAGAATTACATTTCTTTGTTTTGGAAGGAGGCAATCTTTGAATTTTGAATGTGTTCCAAGAGTAGAGCAAGTTGACCAAAGCTTTGGATCTTTAAGGGTCTAACGAGAGTACCAAAGTGACAGAGCGACCTACTACTCAGCCACTAGAAAAGACCGGCGCAGTTTGGGAAAAATTAAAATATTATATCGAACCAACAGATACGAATGCAAAACGCGGTTTCAAGCTAAAAGTAAGTCTGATAGAATGTTAACGTAATTGAATAGACAGTTTTAAATGCCGGATTATGATTTCTCTCATAGCTACCCAGACGACAGAGACAACACACAATTTCCACACGAAAAATATAACATCTGACGGAGAGCCGATACCTACTTCCATTAAATCATCGAAAAAAGGTGGAATTGAAGCTCAAAGGGAGCAACTACAAAAACAAGGTAAATACTAGAAGATGACGGATTGATCTCTACAGGTTAACTGATATTTATGTTATGGCAGAAAAAGTGATCTCGAAAGATCCAGGGATCAGGCTGTTAAGGGTTTGTGTTTTAGTCATCTGCAAGTAACAAATGAACCGCAATTACTGCGTTTAAATGTGATCATACGGGCGCAATAGTAACTGTTATCGTAACAGAAAAAAAGAAAACTAATGAACCGTTTAAAAGGAGAAGTTCCAATAATACAAAGCTTTCTGTGTAACTAATTCTACAGTCTTATACATAATTATACTGATCTACCTTGCACAGAACTAAATGTGGTAGCAGTGGTAATTCCTGTGGTATTGGCCTTCTTCCTTGTCTGCATGCGTTTAACTATCGTCTTTTATATCACAGGGTAAGTATTCACGATGAGAGGCATGTCTTGTACCACCGAAAAATTTTATTTTGCGTTGTCCGTGATTTCTGTAACCATGACGAGCTTTGCTCAAGAAAAAAATTCTCAGCAGGCATCGTAAACTGATGCCGAGGTTTGGGGAAGAAGGCGTTGGGTGGATGTCATCACATAATTACACCACAATGTAATTATACAGATTAGCGCCCACGAATCCACGAGAGATACGCGATTGCGTGCGAGTTAACGCGGGGTCATCTGTTGGCGATGAAAATCAAAATCATGAAATGAAATGAAGTTTGTTGTGCGCGTAATGGTCATAAAATACTGCGGTTCTTAGGGTGGGGTGGGGGGGGGGCGAGAAGGCGTCTCTGCTCCCATAACCAAGACCCCTTTTCTGACGATTCTGTTTTAATTTACTTCCACATCTAAGTTTCGCATTAAAGTATTGGACAACAACCAAAGACTAGAATATTATCCTACCAGCTGTCATCACGATGAAGCATATGACTCACACTCTGGCATCTGTAAAATGGACCCTGCAAATGGAAACGGAATCAAGGCATGTAAATTTAATTACACCGTTGTAGCGTACAAAAAAACCAAGTATGAACTCGTTCCCAATGATCTCGTATTCTTGAAGACATATGGGAAACTTTACAATAACGTATTTTATATTATCTGTGGTGAAAAATTGTTACTGTGCGTTAATTTGACAAAAAATGACACTGAAATAAGAGATTCTTCATTTGAGCTCAAAGAAAAATATAAATTTCTGCAGCTTTTCAGCTTTGTTGGGTCAGTTGTGTCCATCGTTTCTCTGGTTTTGCTGATATTGACTTACGTGTTATTTGGTGAGCTTCGTAATTTACCCGGAAAAATCATATTAAACTTGGCGATATCTCTGTTGCTATATCAAAGGGTTATCCAGCTACCAGCTGGAAAAAAATACGATCAGGTGATCTGCCAAGTAATCGCAGTTCTTTTTCACCTCTTCGCTCTCTTCCTTTACGTGGATGAGCGTTATGGCATAGGATGTGAATCGCACTTTGACAAAACTTTCGGGTAAGTTGTCACAGTTCATTTAGCGATTTAAGGTTGTTATCAGTTTAGAACTTACGACATTTTGTCTTTGTAATATCTTCGTACTAAAAAAGCATCTCAGATATTCATGATTCGCGAAAAAGGTGGCGATTGTTGATTATAGTGAATCTACTTGACAAACGCTTCTGTCACGAGTTAATAACTCCCAGTGTCGATCAGTCTCGACCGCAGATTGCTACATTCATGATTCAGTTTTTTTGAGCAAGGGACTTGTGAAGGCATTTCACACAGACTCCAATTTTGCTAATATAACTAAGTGGACAATTACTAATTATGATTTTGTACACTTTAGTCACTCATTATCATTCCAATTAGGTCCAGCAGCAAACCAAGAGTTCCATAGACGTTTGATGTGTTATTCTCTGTATGCTTGGGGAGGTCCTGTTTTTATATAGTCATATCCTGTGTTACAGTTGATCAGCTTCAGGAACGGGCGATTGGATACGGTTGGTACTTGACACAAAACTATGTAATAAGTGCTTGTCACTGAACTCTGATAAAACCATGGTCACCTTTACTCAGGGAAAATGATATTGATTTTGCAAAATAACTCAGCTAATACCGTTTGTTGCTGAACTAAACAGGCCTTGGAAAAGAGGAATGTTTCATATCTGAGAATAGACCAAAGATCTTCTCAATGAGTTTGCCTGCTGGACTGATTCTGATTTTCAACCTCTTTGCCCTGGGACACACTAGCTATCATATCGCTAAACTCGAAAGTTAAGCACAATATTTACTATGCTTTTGTCAACAAAGGGCGTTAATAGCCTAGTGTTTCAGTGTTTGTCTATCTGAGCTAAACCTACATGACGAGCTTTGCTCAAGAAAAAAATTCTCAGCAGGCATCGTAAACTGATGCCGAGGTTTGGGGAAGAAGGCGTTGGCTGGATGTCATCGCATTAATTACACCACAATGTAATTAAACAGATTAGCGTCCACGAATCCACGAGAGATACGCGATTGCGTGCGAGTTAACGCGGGGTCATCTGTTGGCGATGAAAATCAAAATCATGAAATGAAATGAAGTTTGTTGTGCGCGTAATGGTCATAAAATACTGCGTTTTCTCTGTTTCTGCCTGTTTCCTTATAACGACATTTTTAATCACGTAGTCTTTCAAAGATCCTTCCTTTTCACAGAAGAGGCAATACCGGCGAGGCGCCGTATTCGAAAAGCCTCTCTTTCGATTATTTAGGTATGATTCTTTCGCTTGGTTTGCCATAAAACAGTAACAAAAGATATCGCAATTTTCATGTGCCGTACGACCTGAATAACAACCGTATCGAATTTCCAGTATTGCGTCACTTGGTGGATCGATCAGTGTTCACGCTTTGCGATCGTAGTACACGATGTTATTGTTTTGGTACAAAACCTGTGGCGGTCGCACGACTTGGCCTCGTATCCTGGTTAAATTCTTACCAATATTATAATATTAAACCTCGACGAGATTTTTCATGTCGAAATGTCGAAAAGCATCATGTTTTCGATTTCGAAACCATTCGAAATGAAGTCATAGAGGCAGTCGGATTTTCGACGTGCGGCTTTCCACCGGCTAACTTAACCACGCAGAGTCTTTGCAGGATTACAAGTGCCACACTTGACCCTTGCAAGCATTGGTATCTACTTTTGAAAGAGGTATGTGACGTTCCTTTGCGTAAATATTTCATATGCGATGTATTTAAGATATTTCCCGACGAAATCCAAAGTGTGGCGACACGGGAACTTCAGCCGGCCAACTCATCGTTCGGAGTAGTGGGGTTAGCCAGGATTCCCGACCTCGTTCACGTTGTGTTCACGTTCTGTCTAATAGCTGGTCTATCTTCTTCGTAATAAACAATCCCCGACGAACTTATTAAATCTGCGGGATTTATGACTATCGTAAATCTGGTGAACTCCGCCACGCTAGACTTTGAGCCCGAAGGCGCGAAAAATTTATCTTTTGGCGCCAAACTCAGTCACGACTCCGAAGAGCTCGCTTCCTAACTTACCGAAAGATCAGCTAGAGTAAATTCCCTTGGAGTGGAACTGAAGAAGCTTCGAACACAGATTTCTCATCTCGAATCAGCATGGAGTCAATTTTACAGACCCTTTTTTCCACCTCAATGTTCGTACCTTGTCGTGGTGAGGTGGCTTGAGTGCCTCAATGACCAATTGCAATACAATGCCTTTAAAGAATTCAGCTTCAGTTGGTGGGCTGTATTTTCTGCAAGGTAGAGGCCAGACTAACACGGACTTTGTCATTGTAGTTATTGTTATGATTATTATAATTATCATTATTATTAATGATTTTGTTATTGTTATCATTATCTTTATGATTGTGATTGAATCATTTTCAAAATGAAATAGGCTGCTCAATGAGGATGGCATGCTGAGGCAAGTAGATTTTCATTTATTTACCCCCCCTCCCCCCAAGTAGAAATTCAAGTGTTTCTGATAGTTTTTCTCTTCAATAGATTGTTAGAATGCAGAAGATTTTCTAAGACACATTGTTCAGAGGGCTTGTCTTAAGTAGTTGTTTTCTGATTCAAAACCACCTGCCTAGTTCTGTTTCTCTTGGGTAGTTAGTCCATGGACTGTTGTTATCTGATGGCAGAACTAACAGGTGGATCTGTTTCTCTTGGGTAGTCAGTCCATTATGGGCTGTTGTTATCTGANCTCTTTTGCATGTTATGCTGTTTTGCATTTTCTTCAACGTATAATTTAGTTCAGCGTCGATCATTTATCATCCTTAGAAGAAAATATTCTGATCTTTACGTTTAACTATAAAATTGCTTTGGCTTACATTGTGCGCATAAAAGGAGCGTTAAATTAAACATGAGTTGATTCCACGCGAGGGTTTTACCTGGAAAAATGCCTGCACACGAGAGACACCGACATTACCGCGTGTCCCTTTCTGGAAAACATTCGTGTTATGACAAGAAAGGTCAGCTTAAGGGTTTTGGGTTACCCAAACTATGCAATTTTGACGCCGAAAAGTGCCAAAAAGTCATTACAGAAACTTCATCCGCAACACCTTGAACGTGCTGTGGGCGCGAACTGAGATCTTCTCTTACAGTTAATAATTGCCAGGCGGAACTCAGATCCGCCTTAGCCTAATTTGCATAAATTTTTTTGGTGGGCAAAGCTCGTCATGCAGTAACTGCTTTTCGACGGCTTTCATGACCGAAAGAACACCGCAAGAAAATCTGAATTTTAAAACCAGGGCTATTCTCATTTTGGTTATTTTAGAGGATAAAAGAAGTAACCAAGCAAAAGCAAAGCTCTAACGTGGCTTTCATCTGTGTTAAAATGGCCTCAGTGATGGGTGTCACGTGGATTTTTGGGATTCCTGCGAATCTAGAGGCTTTGTTATTCTTGTGGTATCCGTACGTTGTGCTAAACAGTCTCAAGGTAAGTGTCTTTAGCATAACAAAGCTGGTTTTGACCGGAGAAAAAATGGAACGTATTTCGATGGGGCAGTTGACTCTTAGTATAGAAAAGAGTCTCATTGTAGCAATGGTTGGTTGATTACATTAAAAAATACATAAAATAAACTCTTTGAAAAGCAGGTAAAGAACTTTTTCAACGAATAAATAAGTTAAGTGTAACAAATTGACAAATTCATGATTTGCATCATGAATGCTGGTTGCACAAAAACTGTTTTCATGTCTACATAAACAATTTTGTCATTCGCAACTCATCGCATAGAATACATTAAAATACACTACCTGGCTAAAAATGGAGGAAATCCATCACTAGCGTCAATCCATTCTAATGCTCCCATAAGGCAGTAACCTTCGACATTCTTATAATAGAGAGAATCAAAGATGAAATCAAATTAACCAAATATCACCAAATGTCTCTTTATTGCAACACTTACTCTTTCAAAGGAGCTGCTATCGCCATCTTCCTCCACTTATCCTGCCAAAACATTTCGATAGCTGTCAGTGCCTCTATCTCCTCTGAGGAGTCATGACGATAGTGTTCGGTACGAAGAGGCACAGAAATCTTTCCACTTTTTGTATTCATCAGTTCCTCTGTTCATGCCATTATGAGGTTGACATTTACGGTAGACAAGTGACTTAGTGCTGTAATCAGGATTCTTCCCGTCTCAACAAGGAACACAGATACGATTCAAATTTTTCAAGAGTACCTCTCTTTTGCCTGGTGCTATCAACTGTAAAACACAAACGTTGATCATGAACTTTCTCTATGTCATTTGGTCTTTCAGTTGC